TTTTTAACCAATGCTTTGTTTACATACAAAACCAAAAGTCTATCTGTGTACACTATCTTTTGAGGTACTGTGGCTTTATTGGTCAACGTGTCTGTCTTGTAAATAAGAGATACTGAGTTCATTTCCCAGCTGTACATAACAGCAATACAGAACTATAAAAAATTTTGTCCTCCTTCAGTTTGATGTGAAATTTTAGGCATGAMAATTTTCCTCATGAAGCCTATCAGTAATAGCAGTTCCTATGTCTAATAAAAACTACAGATAGCAACATGCTTTCCTTTGCTTATTTTTTCCAAAAAACATCAAAGTTGCATTTGTTTTCCTTCAAGATCGGTGGCTTTAATTATTTTCCTTTTTATGGATGCTTTCATGACATGCAAAAGCAAACATCTTCCTGTTTATACAGTCTTCCAATGTACTGTGGCTTAGTTGGTCAAAGTGCCTGTCTWGTAAACAGGAGATCCTGGGTTCAAATCCCAGCAGTYCTTCAGTGCAACTTAGTGTTATTAAAGCTGTTATTCCAACTTCGGTTAGATCTTATACTTATGTGTTAAAAAGCCTTCATAAAGCCTATGTATAATAGAAGTTCGTAAGTCTACTAAAATCTATGATTATTTACTTGCTTTCCTTGGGTACTTTGTGCAAAAAAACCATTAAAGGTGCATGAATTCTCCTTCAAGTTCTGCGGCTCTGATTATTATTCTTATTACTAATGCTTTGTTGACATAAAAAACCAAAAGTCTACCTGTATATACAGTTTTACACGGTACTGTGGCTTAGTTGGTCAAAGTTCCTGTCTTGTAAACAGGAGATCCTGGGTTCTAATCCCAGCAGTACCTAAATGCAAGTTAAAATTATTAAAGCTGTTATTCCAACTTCAGTTAGATCTGATACTTATGTGTTAAAATGCCTTCATAAACCCTATGTATAATTGAAGTTCTGAAGTCTACTAAAACTTATGTTTAATAACATGCTTTCCTTGGGTACTTTTTTCCAAAAACCATCAAAGGTGCATTAATTCTCCTTCAAGTTCTGTGGCTTTGATTACTAATCTTTTTACTAATGCTTTGTTGACATACAAAACCAAAAGTCTACCTGTGTATGCATTTGAAAGCGGTACTGTTGCTTAGTTGGTGAAAGTGCCTGTCTCGTAAACAGGACATCCTGGGTTCAATTTCCAGCAGTACCTGAACGCAAGTTAAAATGATCAAAGCTGTTGTTCCAACTTCAGTTAGATCTTATACTTACGTGTTAAAAAGCCCTCATAAAGCCTTTGAATAATATAAGTTCTTAAGTGTACTAAAATCTATGATTATTTACTTGCTTTCCTTGGGTACTTTGTGCAGAAAAACCCGTCAAAGGTGCATTAATTCTCCTTCAAGTTCTGCGGCTCTGGGGTCGGATTTATAAAACTGGCGTACGCACAATTTGAGCCCAGAAACTTGCGTACGCCAGTTTTTACGCCAAGGTTGTGATTTATAAAATACAAACGTGACGTGAAAATGTGCGGTGCCTCATGCCAGCTCTGACCCATGCGTACGCTCATTTTGGATATGCTTTGGATACTCAGATAACAGAGCAGGCAGGAGGGTGAGAGGACGAGGAGAAGATCGGTGAACTTTTTTCATCTGACTTATTTAATTTAATTTTTATTGTTTTTATCGTCCTGCAGGCTCTGTGACAAAATTAATTTGAAGCTGAGTATTTTT